CGCTTAGCCACCACCCAGTTAATGACCTCGGCAACCTGAAACCGGACGCTGGTTTCCGGCTCGCGTCTGACCCCCGGATTGTAGGCGAACGAATGCAAGCGTGGGGGGTTGGGAGCCTGCACATCGAGCCCCACAAACAGTGGAAACGCGACCGAGGACTGCCGCCCCACGAACCGCTGCTTCCAGGGCTCCAAGATTCCGTGAGGAGCTGACGGGCTGCTGGTGCGCACCGCACTCGTTCCTTGTGCAGCTACCTGCCCATCATCCGATGCTACACGCCGCGCATCTGCTGGCTGAGTGCTTGGAACATACTCACACTCGACGCTGGAGCTCGCACACATCCTGCATGGAACATTCCCATCGCATTTGACTCTCCGCGACCGACACTGCGTACAGGCCTGGCGCGATCGCTGACGCTTCCGATCCAAGCCATCGGCCTCATCACTCGACGACTGCGACTTGCGTCGTCCATGCCTACTCGACGTCAGTATTCGGCCACAGTGCCACGATTCAGGTGATACATAGCCGTACTTCCGACTCCCCTCGTCGGCCGCCACATAGTTCGGCTTCAACTTGGACGATCGGGATTGCTTCCAATTGTCGTGGGTGGAGGGGGGACATGTATGGGGGTTGTAAACCGTCACCCGGGGCTGTCCTTTCTTGGTCCCGATTCGCACCTCATATTGACAGACCGGGTCCCGGCACTTGGTGATGTGGCGGGCGGGGTCTGATTTGGCGACGAGGTAGGATTCATGGCGATCGGCTGTATGGCGGAGGAGGGTGTGACGGGCCTGAGAGATGGTGTCGAATGTCATTCCTATGCAGAAGGGGGTGACGTCCCTGGGGCTGGTGCAAGTTGCAGCAAGTTAATAAGCATTCTACACCTAACAATGTATGCGAAGGGCCTACGATTGGTGGGATAGATCCATTCTCTGTGGTGTGGCTGGGTGGATGGTCCACGATGGTGGATGGGCAGGACAGAAGGACAACCCTGAGATGATGCCAGATGCCACCAAAAAAGCTGGGCATCCGAACGAAAAGACGGACAGATACACGTGATCGAGACAGTCACGTGACATGGTATAACCCATTGGGAAAGTCGGGGTGCGATGGTCCATGGGTCGGTAGTAGCGTTGTAGAGCTATGGGATCTATACTACTGTAAGGACATGTAGAAGATACTACAGTCTGACTGACAAGCAACAAGCTGGCTAGTCCCCATCCCCGCTGCAACTACCTCACAAGAACGTTTTACATACTCTACAGCGGTACACCCAAACGGATCTCCAAATCGAACTCTTGTGCATGAATCAATTGGCTGACCCGGACACAATCTTAATACGAGTGCCCATAGCCTGGACCTGAATAGGCCATGATTTCAGAATGACGCGAGGGACAGAATACCTATACCAATAATATAAGACCTCCGCTTCGAGACATTTTCCATTAGTACCTATACCCTTCGGTATACATACAAGAACCACAATCTATCACCCTCAACTGTCACTAGCAGAGCAATAATGTCCCGCAAACTCTGCATCACCGCCGTAGACGGCCACACTGGGTCCTTGATCGCCGAGCTGATCATGACGGATCCCAACTTCAAGAAAGCCATCGGCTCCGTGGTCGGTCTGACCCTGCACCCGGACGCCAGCGCCTGCAAGGAGCTGAGCAAACTGGGGATGAAGATCGTGCCCCACAAGCCGGGCCGCCTCCGCGCGATGGTTCAGTCGCTCAAGGAGATCGGGGCGGACGCGATGTGCCTGATCCCGCCCGCGCACCCGGACAAGCTCGACATCACCAGCGAGCTGATCGAGGCGACCAAGCAGGCCGGGGTCGCGAATGTGTGCATGATCAGCTCCGCCGGCTGTGACCTCGCCGAGCGGGACCGACAGCCCCGGCTGCGGGAGTTCATCGATTTGGAGGTGCGGCTGCTCGCGTGCAAGGGCGATCCCTCCACTTCTACCGGTCACTCGCCGGTTGTTATACGGTAGGGCTTGCGAAGGGAACGGGCGAATTTGAAAGAGGGCATCTTGATTGACTTGAATACTCTGTAGACCGGGCTTCTACGCGGAAAACCTGTTGCTCTACTCCCGTCAGGCGCAGGAGGAAGGGCTTTTGCCGCTGCCTATGGGCAAGGATCACAAGTTCGCGCCTATCGCGCTGGGGGTATGTTTCTCTCGCCTCTTGGGTTGTTACTAGGATAGTGGACTGACGGCTGCCAGGATGTCGCCCAAGTCGCAGCGCATGTCCTCTGTGGGAAGGGCAAGCATGGATTCAGTGACAAGCACCGGGGTCAATTGATGGTGCTGACGGGTATGTACGAAGACACACACTGAACTTGCATGCGCAAAATGAATGCTCAATACGACATAGGCCCGATGCTTGCCACGGGTGAAGAGCTGGCGTCTGCAGCCAGCCAGGCCCTGGGAGAAGAGCTGAAGTTCGAGGATATCTCTGAGTGGGTCCCTCCCGTATTGTCTTTCACTAGCTACGGGGTATAGTGTCCGAGACTAAACAGTGCATCCCTGCAGAAACGAAGCGAAGAGAGTCTTACAAGCGCAATCGGACAGTGACCAGTCTGAGGTGCAGTATCTGCTGGAGTACTACTCGTTGGTGCGTGAGGGCAAGACCAACTACATTTCCACCACCGCGTTCCATGACGTCACCGGGGGCCATCCCCAGGAACCCCCGGACTTCTTCAAGGTCTATGCCCAGGAGTTCCATCCTAAGCGCACCAACAAAAGACGTAAGTTGAGCGGGGGCCAGTGAGCATGGTTACAGTGGCTTGCGTTGATGTAGTTAGTTGCTCATTGTAGCTCCCTTCGATGGCGGGTGGTGGTGGCGGTCGTGGATGAATCCAGCTCGTGTTGATGCCAAGGATCAGAAGCCAGCTTTCGTGTTACCCCACAAAATTTCTGTATCTGCGGGGATTGAATGTGAATACTGCTTATTTGCCACCTTAATTGAAATACATTGCTTGTGATTCGTGGGTCCGCTGAGGTCGATCGCTTTACTCTTTCATTCGGCGGGGTTAGGGCATCGTCGACTTGAATGGTCGGGATAATGCTTCCGGGGCTCTCAACCAAGAACAGGACAATGACTCTTCCATCATCCCAGCAAGCCGTAGACACAATCTGCAACACTCCAGGTGTTGTGTGATATAGTAGAGCAGTCAAGCGCTAAGAATGACGTGACATTCGAATGATCCTGAGGCTTGGTTCCAGGCAGGCAGTTGTTGGATAGTTTTTAATCGTCGCCATCTGTGCTGTCGAGGTTTACTTGCCACTGATCATGACCATACATCTCCACCTCTTGAACGAACACTATTCACGATGATTTTAATCAGCGACGCCGTCAAAAGTGACCATCGCGACCTCGAAGAGGCCTACAACAACATCCTGACCGCCGCAAGCGATGACGAGAAGCGCCGGTGGCAGAACCAGTTCACCTGGGAGCTGGCTCGCCACTCCATCGGCGAGGAACTAGTCCTATACCCAGCGATGGAGGAGCACCTCACCGATGGGAAGGCGATGGCTGACAAGGACCGGGCGGAACACAGGACGGTAAGCTTAGTGCACTTTGCCCTTCCTGCCAGAGACGCGTCTGGAGACTAAGAGGTGAATCTAGGTGAAAGACCATCTGGAGAAGTTCCAGAACCTAAAGCCCGACGATGCAGAGTTCATTCCGACCCTCCAAGGACTGTGGGGCTCTCTTTCGCAGCACATCAAGGAGGAAGAGGAGCAGGATCTTGTCAAGCTTGAAGCGAATCTGGATAATGAAGTCTCTAAGGCCATGGTCTCTTCGTTCAAGCGCACCAAGATGTTCGTCCCGACTCGCAGTCATCCCTCGGCGCCCGACAAACCGCCCTTCGAAACGGTGGCAGGATTACTGGCTGCGCCCATCGATCATATCAGAGACCTGTTTAGGAAATTCCCGGACCAGGCTGCTAGTGACATTCCACCTTGAATGTTGTCAGAGAATATGTCGTGGTGAACTTGTGTTGATTTATGTTGTTCCAGCTTGATGATTGATAGGCCTGGGGAGAATGTCATAAGTGTACCAAGTGTTGGGGAAATGTGAATCATAAGCTTGATGTTTTCGACAAGGTCTGAGGAACAAGAGTAGCAAGATCTCATTAGCAATCGAGTAAGAATGAGCTTCATAATCTAGGGCCAGGTACAAGATTTCGATGAAGCATCCCTTGAACCCGACGAGCTAACATGCTTTGGGCATCCATTCTCTCACGATCAACACACGACCCACTGGCTCTAGAACATTAAAGGCTCAGGAGAGTGTCAGGTCCGGCACGACTCAGGGACACCGTCTTACTCCGATGCAGTCATGAGTCAATTAACCCGGAGTTGGCGGTGTAAAAGTGCCAGATTGGGATCGTGTCCGGTTTAGATTTACTATAAACGGCTAGGAAGCGGAATAGCAGAAAGCGGGACCGGAACTCCGACAACCGATCGCCGACTTAATTTTCCCACTTATGCTCTCCCTTCGGCTTATGAATTCGAGGATTTGTGAGTTTCTCGATCAATCCTGCTTGTCAACACGGCGTTAATCACATATTTGGGTAGCGGATATTCAGCATCATTCATCACCAGACATACTTTCTGTCCCATCGAGGACTTTTCTACGTTAGCGTGTGGTGAACGGAGCATATGATGATGGGTTGCTCCCCAGGTCCGCGGACCGGACAAGTTATGCCTATGCGCTGGGACGCCATGTGTCTAGCCGGTAACTCCTATCTCCACACTCCGGGCCCACCAGGCAAGCTCCAGCTTTTGATTTTTATTTTTTTGCTGCCCTGGAAGTTGCGCCAGGTGACATATATAAGCTAGAGGTCCACATGGCTTCAAGGTGGTGGACCAAGAGCTTGGTGTCGATTCCAGATCCCCGACCACGGATATCTTTGGGGTTACGTTAGTTAGGGCTTCATCTACAACGGAACGATCCATCAACGAACTCACAATAGAACACTCATAACGAAGCACAATGGCTGCGGTGCAAGAGGAAAGCACACAAAGAATCAAAGATGTCGAAGCAGCCGCTGGACAGCCGCAGAACGAGAAAGTCGTCGATCCATACATCGTGGATTGGGAGGGACCCGACGACCCCCAGTGTCCCATGACCTGGCCTTTGAGCAAGAAAGTGCGGCAGCTGGCCGGAATGGGAGTCAACAGTCTTCTCACGTACGTGAGAATGTATCCCAGAGAGTGGAAGGATATCGTCCCGGAACATCTAGCTAACATGCAAGATCCAGACCTCTATCCTCATCGATGTTCACCCCAGGCGAGGCGGACGTGCTGGCCGAATTCCACACAACAAATTCCACACTAGGGTCCTTCGTTGTCTCCATCTTCCTGCTGGGCTACGTGGTCGGCCCCCTGGTAATTGCGCCGTTGTCTGAGATGTACGGCCGTTGTCGACTCTACCACATCTGCAACACCCTCTTCCTTATCTTCACCATCGCATGTGCAGTCGCCCAAACATTACCGCAGCTGTTTGTGTTTCGCTTCTTCGCCGGAGTCGCCGGTAGCTGTCCGATGACGCTGGGTTCCGGCACCGTGGCGGACCTCATCCCCAAGGAAAAACGCGCGGGCGTGATGGCCATCTGGGCTATGGGCCCCATTCTGGGCCCTGTCATCGGACCCATCGCCGGGTCGTTCGTCTGTGCGAACATCGGCTGGCGCTGGGTGTTCTGGATCATCGCGATCGCGGTACGCTTGTCCCCCCATACAACCACAATGAAAAGATCCCCTTCCTAATGACGCATATTCTAGACCGGAGTAATGCTTATCGCCACCCTATTCTGCTACCGCGAAACCTACAGCGTGGTCCTCCTCGAGCGCAAAGCCGCGCACCTGCGCAAGGAAACGGGCAACGAGAAATACCGCTCCAAATTCGACCGCGGCACGCCGCGCAAGGAGATCTTCCGGCTGGCGGCGGTGCGGCCCGTCAAGCTGCTCTTTCTGTCACCGACCGTGCTGCTGATGGCGCTGTTCGGCGCCGTCTCCTACGGCTACCTGTACCTCATGTTCACAACCATCACCGCCATCTTCGAGGAGGTCTACGGCTGGCGCCAGGAGATCTGCGGCCTGGCGTACCTGGGCTTTGGCCTCGGGGCCATCCTCGGTGTCCAGGTCACCGGCTACGTGGCCAACCGCATCGCCGCGGCGCACACGGCCCAAGGCCGGTTCGTGCCCGAGTCGCGGCTAATCCCGTGCCTGTACGGCTCGTGGCTCCTGCCTATCGGGCTGTTCTGGTATGGCTGGTCCGCCGACAAGCAGGTGCACTGGATCATGCCAATCATCGGGACGGGGATCTTTGGGGCGGGGCTGATGTGTGTTTTCGTATGTGCTTTCCTTTAACACCTTGCTGTGATTCTGGTGCATGCTAACCGATGATGCAGCTGTGCATCAACACCTACCTCGTCGACTCGTATCTCCTGTACGCTGCCTCGGTGACAGCCGCCAACGCAGTGTTGCGCTCGCTGATCGGGGCGCTGCTCCCGCTAGCCGGTCCTTCAATGTACGATGCCCTGGGGCTGGGGTGGGGCAATTCTCTGCTGGCGTTCATTGCCCTGGTCTTTTGCTCGTTCCCGGTGTTTTATAGCCGGTATGGGGCCCGGATCCGCACGTCGCCGCGGTTCCAGTTGAATTTGTAGTGGGTGCGGGTGGCACTGTGGTTTTTCTAAGCGATAAAAACGATTTTCTTCTCTCATAAAAATGTACTTGATGACAGATCTGGAGCTTGGCTTCATCTTGGGATTAGGTTGTAGAGTTTACACTAGATCAAACAAGCATGTATGACCGGAGGATGTGGTGAGTACGTAGGGCTCATCGTCCGCCCGGGCCCTAGTCTAGCCATTCACTGAGCGTGAGCAACGGGAAAAGTTCATCCATTCTACGAAGTCGCTGCTACCGCTCCCTGCTGACACCGGGTGGTTGCTACGGATGAATGGCATGGTAGGTGATATTTTTCCCGGTGTGGGGTGAGCAGTGCACCGTGAGCAAGCTGGACAATTGAACTGGCGAATTGTTATTGTGGCCGATCAGCGTGCACTCGATCAGCTTTTGAAGTGGTAAGTCGACATACTCTTTTGTCCTCGTCAATCACCTCGGAGTCACTCTCCTCATGAAACCCTGTTGAATCAGCATGATTACAAAAGGAGCCTAGCCTCAGCTGCTTACGTGAGTTGACACTACATATATCACTTCCTCATACGGCCCTAATAGTAGGCACATTTCATACGCGAGCCGGAATTCTACCTTACGATGACAAATAGCCTGATGCAAAGGCAAGGAAGAATATATGCGGTCTAGGCTGCTGGTTAGGGAGAGGCAATGTTGACCACGATCTTGCCCGCATTTTCATAGGACACGAATCGCTGCATGTAGGAGGGAACATCCCGCAGCTCGATCTCCGTCACGACGGGGGAGAGCAGGCCGGACCTGATGTACTGCATGACGCGATAGCTTTCCTCCCATCCGCCCATGAGCGTGCCCTGAATCCGGATTCCTTTTTCGACCACCTCGGCAATGGGGAAGGATACCTCCCCGCCGTGCTTAGGGACACTGGTTGGTTCATATTAGCTGGATAAGAACCTTAACGAGACTTAATCGCGGCGGGGGAAATGACGCACCCAACGCAGACGATAGCGCCACCTTCACACAGATATTCGATTAGATTTGTGTACGCTGCCGTCGATCCCGCCGTGACAATGACCCCGTCGGCCATCGCAGGTGGCACATCGGGTCCCCGTAACTCGCTACTGGCGCGTGAAAGGCCTTCGAGAAATGAGGCAGACCCTTCCGAGTCCCGATTCGCAGGGACGAACGCATCGTAGCACTCGGAGCTGCGTGGGCCCAGCCCGGGCTGCTTCTCCGGTAGGTCGACGCCAATGACCTTGGCTTTGTACACTTTTCTTGCAATCTGCCCGGCTAGATGGCCGATAGCGCCCGCAATACCGCTGATCATCACCACATCTCCTGGGCTGGGGCTCAACTTCCTTAGCGCCTTGGATGCAGCGGCGCCGGAGCATATGGCAGCCGCATAATCACCCAAACTCGGCCCGGCGCCGGTGTGGATGCTATCCAAAATGAAGGCGGGCAGGGGCATCAAGGACGAGATCGGAGCCCTGATGTACTCCTGGTACGTCCCGGGGTGGTCTCGTGGGAAGTCGCGTTGGGAGGGACAGCGCTCGGGGAGATCGTGGAGGCAGGCATGGCAGTGGCGGCAGTGGTGGGCCAGGTATCGCGCCGCTACCAGGTTGCCGAGCAGCGACTCGTCCTGCGCCATCACGATTCGTCCAATGCCTTCATGGCCGCCGATCATATTGTGTTGAGGATAGCCCTTGCGCAGTCCAAGAGAGAATATGATATCCTTTTGTCCCGCGGTTGGAGGATACTTAGCATGGTACTGTAATGATTTGGGATCGGAGATGACAAACGCTACTACACAGACCGCTCACATAGAGCTTCACGACGACTTCGCCGCTGGCGGGTGGGTGTGTTCGAATGTCTTGATAGTTCAGGTTCAGCTTGTCGCTCACTACAGGCGTAAGCACAGCGGCGTGTTGGGCAGGCGGTTGGAAGTTCGGTCCCATGTGCCATCCTGTGTGCACTGGTTCTCGTGATAAGACCAAGTGATCGCCTGTCTGACTTGATCCGGACCCCTCGTCAGAGTTAGTTTGGACGACGAGGACGAGAGATTCTAGTCAAGGCAAGAAAAGCAACTAACCTCTACTCCGGGCCGGTGAGGTAAGTCGAGGTGATGATCCTGCGATGTAGATTGCAAGGTCATTGAGGATAAAGTGCAAGGTTGGGGGGTACCAGAACGAAAGAGATTATTAAGTAACCCCTTCTTTATGTAGAGAAATAATGACATCGGTAAGCCAGACATCCTTATCTCCGGTTTCGATTAGATGTGGGGAAGTGAGCCCCCCTCTGAATTTATATTCCGCCTCCCACAGCCGGAGGCGAGGATCTCAAGGTGCGTTCTTTCATTCTGTTGAGGCTCTATGGATGACGTAAACAGACAGCCATTCTCCCCCCAAAGTTCAGCATCTAGTATCGTGGAAAAGCTGACCCGCGAGCAATTTCACCTTGAAGTACACTCAACACCTGGTGGGATAAGGGACTTTTAGACATGGACTTTAAAGAACTTGCCACAACCATAAAGAAACAGTCCAAAAGTCACATATTGTAATTACCCTTGCTTTATAAGATCTAGGTATAAGGGAACCCGACTAGCCTGTCCCATAGCATCGGGGCTTTTTCGGGAAGCATCATGCTATAGAATCCCGTCCACTTCCAAACTGCATCGCATTCCGCAAATGTCCACTGGCCGTCGCTTGATAGTGTTTTGACTACGTGAAATTCGGTGTGCCCTTAGTGCTCCCCTTGGATTCTAGCCGTGGATGGTAATTACGGTCATCAATTTAATCACACTTCCTCCTTTGTGTTCTCTCCGGTATCATCATATGTGCGTATGGAGATGCATATTGTGGATTAGAAAATGGATAAAAACTCAAAATGTCTGTCCCATTTGATTATTGTGAGTCCAGGGCGATCATCACTTGAGTAATAGTATCAAATCATCAAGCTCACCCGTCCCCTACTTATTCGAATTCCAAAAAGTTCAGAATGGCATTCACCTCCGCCGACCCGCCAGCGTCCAAGCCCGCGACAATGGCCCTGACCTCGCCCATCAGCCTCGAGATCTTCTGTCGACAGTACCGAAAGCTCCCCGTCGCTTCCATCTGCCATACCGCAAATGTTTTGACCGCCTCGTCTGTGGTCCGCTGGCGCAGGATGTGCAGTAGCTGCCTGTTGGCAGGGTCCTGGCGGATACTGTGGATGATCGGGAACGAGAACTTGCCCTCCGTCAAATCCTCGCAGAACCCTTTGTTAGAGGTGTATGCCTCGCCTTTCAGGTTCTGATAGTCGTCTCGGATCTGGAAAATGGTTCTAACGAGGTTAATCAGCGAGACGTAGTCCCTGGGACGGAAGGAGTATGAATATCAGCACGTGTTGGTAGTCGAGAAAGAACACCAGGCCAGACCGGTCTTACCCTGACTTTCGGCTCTCCAGCTGCATCAGTCTGATCGCCAGCCTGAACAGCCCGCCGGTCTTGTTGGACACCATGTCTAAATATTCCTCCTCCGTAGGGCAGGTTAGCGAGTCCCGCCAGTAGAGGTCCATCCCCTGTCCGCGGTGCAGATTGAGCATTTCCTCCGTGAAGATTGGGAGAGCAGACGGGTTGCCCAAGCGCTCCAGGTGTTTCTGCGCTAGGAAGTAGGCATGGTTTGCGGAATTGATCGTCTGGGCGACCCCGAAGATGCTGTGCGCCACGGGCAGGCCCCGTCTCAGCGTGGACCGGTCTTGGATGTCATCAATTCTATCACATGTCAGTGAAGTACTGGGGTTATACGCCGATAGTCGGTGTCTACTTGCAAGAGAGAGGCCGTGTGCAACAGCTCAATGACCCGACTGATCACATTGAGCTTGTCCTGAGGGACATCCAGGAGTCGGTTGAACCCCGCGATGAGTTTACCTCGGAAGCTCTTCCCGTGCGAGGAGAGCAGGTACTCCATGGGACCGGAGATGATCTGCAGCGAATCATCTGTTAGCATGACAATCTAGCCGTTCGGAGAGGACATTTGCGAACCTCCTCCTGGTTAAGATCAAGGCTTATTGATACTCGGTGGCCATGGATCTCAGGTCTACCACCCTGGATCCCGAGATTCCCGAGCAGATATTGCCACTCCGCGATACGTGGGGCTGGCTTCTCGTCAGGGAATTCGTTTCTCCCAGCCGGGGATGAGGTGCTGTGCTCATCGATGCCTAGCGCTTGCGACTGTGGTACTGGTTCAATAATCATTGTGTTAGAGTCACTCTCGCAGATTAATATCCTGACAACTGATATGGATATGCGCCCCAGTAAGGTTATTGAAAGGCCATTGTCAGAGCGATTCCCGGGATATTCAAGGCAAAGCCCACCCACCTCACGCACATCCACATGACAAGGCGAAAGCTTCACAGCGAACAGCTAAGGCAACCATTGAATGCCTTATAGGCAGTTCTTTACAGACTTCTCATGACGTCAGAATATGAAAGAGCACGGCGCAACAAGCAAGGGGGGCTATTGCATTCCTACACGAAAAGATCCTCGTATTGGAGGAGAGGAATCGCTTCAAGGTACGGGTTTACAACATCCGTCAATCAAGGGTAATCAGGTGTCATATTGCCAAGGAGCATGCCTTGTTAGCGCATCTGGTGAAATGGACTTCGATTGCAGAGCTCGCAGCGCTTGTGATGTCAGCGAAGTAAAGCCAAACCCGGAATTGTGGATATGCTCCGCTGATAGAACGCAGACAGACTGCAAGGGGTTTGCACACGTCAATAATCCCTTATGCAATTGTGCCACCATCGCACTTGCCAACGGATTGGAGTCCGCGCCTTGGAGAAAACACAACCGGGAAAAAATGACACTGCAATCATGTATAAAAAGTGACAGGTACGAATATGTAACGTTGTATGTAAATTTGGCAGAATTGCACTCGCATCTGAAGTAAAACAGCATAATGACTGTAGGTTTACGTAGGAGTTTGCACTCAGGACCTGTGGAGAGCCATAATGAAATAGGGTGTCTTATCTGAATAATGAAAGGATAGATGATCTCTTATGTAAGCAAGTGGCTAGGAACCCTGATTACTCAGAATAACAAAGCGGAGATGATGCAGTTTATAGATGGAAAGTATATGTCCTCTACCATGAAGCAGCGGCAAGATACGCTTGCAAGGTACACGTACAGAGCCACATACACTCACGCATCAAGAGCGGGCATAGTATAGAGACTGGCTGCAGCGTACAGATTCTAATCAAGTATTGGGACAGTCAGTCGGCCTCAACATACTCCAAACCCTCCGTGAGAGAGCCATACTTGGCATGAAAGTAGTCCAACGAATAATTCGTGCGAGGTCGCCAGGGCCCGACAGATCCTGCTTTAGGTATGCCCCCTTTACCGGCCGCGATGTATGTTGAGTTCAGGTCCCAAAGTGGGCGAACAGCCAGATCTGACCGTTTTTGTAGACGAGGTAGGGCAGCTACACTGCCCGTCCGTTTCATGTGCCTGATCAATCGACAGGCGGCCACAGCCGTCACATCCACTCCCATCGTCCAGGACGCGCTCGTGAGATACCCGAGAGCGAAGAAAGCATTCGGGACGCCGTCGAGCATCATCCCATTCCACATGAATCTATCCGACAGTTTACATATCTGCCCGTCGATGTCTAATCGGATCGCACCTCCGATCTGGAGTTTCAGCCCCGTTGCTGTGACAATGATACTTGCACTGACGGCTTTCCCATTGTCCAGGAGAAGGCCGTCTGCGGTACAGCCCTGGATGATTGCTGTTTCAATGCTGACCTTTCCGCCACGGATGCTGTGGAAGTAATCTCCGTTGGGACATGCTAGGAGCCGTTGGTCCCAGACATTGTACGTGGGTTGGAAGTGCGGCTGGAGAGGGACATGTGCTAGGAGCTCTTTTCTGACCCGGCTCAGCAGGTAGTCTCTTGCATATTGAGGCCATCGGCGAGACGCGTAGTAACCGATCAAGGTGACGAGGAGCCACCACAGACGCCTGAGCTTGTGAGCCACTGGAGTCGGCAGGAATTTCGTTAACAAAGACTTAGCCCCCGGTAAGTCAACGGCCAAAATGTAATTCGGGCTTCTCTGGATGACCGCAACGGTGGACGCGGTCTCTGCGAGTTTCGGGACAAGGGATATAGCCGTCGCTCCGCTGCCGATAACAGCAATCTTTTTCTCGGAATGATCCAGATCTTCGGGCCAGAACTGCGGATGGATCACTGTTCCTTGGAACTGGTCGAGACCAGGGATTTGGGTGGGCAATGGCTCATTGTGGTCGAAATACCCTGTTGCGAAAATCACATATCTTGCGCTGAAACAGTGCTTCTCATCATCAGCCGTAGCTGCCAAAGTCCAGGCATGGTTGTCAGACGACCAACTTGCTGTCGTGACTCGATGGTTGAAGAGAATGCGGTTACGAATCCCGTGCTCCGTCGCAGCATTGTCAACGTAATTTCGGAGTGATTGTCCATCTAGCATAATCTTGTCGCCATGGTAGGGGTACCATGTAAATCCGAACGTGTACATGTCGGAGTCGAGTCGGATCCCAGGATAGCGCATCAAATCCCAAGTCCCCCCGACAGCATCGCGGGCCTCGAGAATGACATATGTGTGGTCAGATAGCAGTTTCTGTATTCGATATGCGGCATTGATTCCAGCAACGCCTGCGCCGATGATGATGATGTCGTATTTTCCAGCGAAGGACATTCTGGGAGCCGTCAGATGAAGAGGTGTTGGGTGTGGAGGCATAAAGAAAACTTAGCACGGCTAGTTCATACCAAACCGCGATGCTCATATTGCATATTTCATGTTGAGAATTACGACGATACATACAGCATTCCTTAACATAACAGTTCATATATTGTATATCCTTCGATGGTCTGGGGACAACGATCCTTTTACCCAACATTGACCTAACATGTTGCAAAGAGCCCAAATAGATACTGGATCAAGTAGGGCATGTGATAGCTTACTCATCTCATAAAGATGGCCGGTGGGAGAACATGAAGGTACACAAGGGTTCAGTTTCCTCTTGACGTTTGGACGCAGGATTGCTGCTCTATGCGTTAGAAGAGATAGAGGAATATGTAAGGGGGCAGTATAGAATTCTGCGTAACCTTTTCCCTGAAGAACTCTCCAGACATATCACATCATCAAGGTTCATTGACTCGTTCAGACACAGTATCAGTCTAAAGGAATGACTGTGAATGATGCGGTGAGGGACTGCAGAGACTAGAGGATTGTTCTGATTAGCCGTACGGGTGGGAATTAAGAGCCGGAACAAAAAGCCCTATCACGATCATCCGGATCGGACCATGCCGATCTGATCTCAGATCGGATCTACGATCCTTTCTCGATCCGATCACTCCAGGATGTATCCTCGTTGCACTTCGATTATCCCGACACTAACCCCTTCACAGTTTGGCCGACGCATCTCCCATCAACCAGTCCATGAATGGATCCTGAAGAAGTCGTACCATGGCCCCTCGCGGCAAGGTAACCCGCACCTCCCATGGTGCTGGAACCGAATTCATCCGAGCAGGTAGCATGCAGACCGTCCCGTCAATTCTGTTGTCTGGGCTATCGAACTCCACCACCTTTCCCAAGACTGCGCCAAAGTCTAATCCATACACTCCCATGCGACGCAGACTGGTTGATGTAACGTCTGCTTGCCTGAACTTTGGACTCCGGTCAATACTTTCTTTCTTTTCGCGGATGAGCGTTTTCACGGAAGCATCATCCACGCACAAAAACGTAGCATGGACCTTGAGCGCGAGGTCGGTAAGAACCTGCAGCCCGTTGGCCGTGAGACTGGGTGATTGTGCAGGATGGGATATGAACTCCAGAGCGGACCGGATGGGTGACGAGGTCGCAGTTTGGACGATCCCATTCCCAATGTAGGACTTTGGCAGTGGCGGTATCAGGGCTCGGCGAATCTCAGTGATCAGAATGAGGGAGCTCTGGGTCGAGTCGCTCTGCCCCTTGAGGGTTTCTGAGCAGGGTCGATACCGCGCCCTCATAATTGCAAGCCATAGTGTAGCGGAGATAATATCATTTGACGACAGTAATTGCCTGGGCTCAGAGGATACGCGGTTGTTCTCGACGGGCCCCCGGTCGAGTGCATTACACATTGTTTTCAGATACGCGATTCTGGCAGGACTCAATGTCAGGCGCCGGCTGATCAGGCCTTGTGCACAATTGAAGTCGGCTATTGCGAGGTCCTGCAGGAGCCCCGCTGACAATCCTCCACTGACCCCACCCGAGAGGCCAGTTTCCAGAATCCTCTGTCTCCCTTTCAGAAGGTCTGCTCCCAGGGAAGGCCCCTGCCTCGCACTTCCTGGCTCTCGACAACATTCCGCCAATGCAGCCTGGATGATATAGAATCCTGCAGCGTCCAGCACGGAGTGATGGAAACATACCGCTACGACCAGCCCATCTTGCATAATGTTCGCTTGCCACCGGATGATGGGGCATTGTTGAGCAGTCGCTGCTGCGAGGAGCACCGGCAGATAGGCCTCGCTAAACAAGAAATTGTTGGAGAATCGATCGTCAGAGCAGGTGGACCCGTGGTACTGGCCGGCCATGTAACGATCCTCATGATGTCTCACTCGTAGAATGGGAAATTCGCGCAAGGATTCCACTGTCGGCGGATAAACAGCTCGCACGGTGGGGGCTTCGTGACCATGATTCGAGTTGATCAAATTCCCTGCCAGAAATGGATTTGCCCGGAGTAGCCGATGGAGAGAGTCTTCAATGACAGGCACGGCTCTTTGTGGATCGTCGAGTAGAAAGCCATAGAAGAATGCTATGTAGGTAACTGGCATCATGTGATCCAACGGTGTGAGCTGTACTGGAGTGAAGTAGAATGACATGATGCTAGAGAGAGAGCAATTGAGGTGCTTATTTTGAGGAAGCAATGTCTTTTGAAAGGTCCAATGCTTTAGAGCTTGTTTTATATGCATGAAATAACTATATAGTGCCCCAAATGTACACGAATTCAGTGCAGGATTCTGTTTTACGTTGTTGAGACCCATTTGCTTGCTATGGATCACATGCATAAAGTTGCCATTCTACTTATCTGAGCTTGTGGCAGGTGCTAGGAGTAGAAGGTAGTACAGAAGCTCGCCCATGCATCACTTAAATTGAATCCCTCTTGCTAAGACATATAACAAAACATCTACGAAGGGAGGTCGGTATGGCTACGTGGTCTTGCGTCCTGCTGAGCCAATTCAACTGACCAGGTGCAAGTGAGACTCCAGATCAGAGTCTACACTGTCCAGGATGCTCATTATCTCCTCCCAGAGTCTTTCTTGGCATAAAACGCCTTCTGAGCTGGAGGCAAATGTGGAAACACTGCAAGGCTCAGTCATATGGCAGTGCATCTCAGGTGAAGATGTACTTACGGTACTTGACCCCCCTGGCTAAAATATGTGTCGGGAGGACTTTCCGTCTGAGTGACAGAGGCCATTATTATCATTCGCGCCCCGGCATCGCAGGTCCGAGCAAAGCAGCGCGCCAAGAGATCTGCTGGTGCAGACCTTACATTGCGGAACAATTCACTCTTGCAGAGTCCCGGAGAAACCAAAGCGATTGAGAGCTTTCCCGGGTCAATACGCCGAGACATAGCCTGGGCCAAGAGAAGCTCGAACAGTTTGGACGTGTAGTAGTGGGTGTAATGATCGAATGCTTGGGCTTTCTGGTTGAAAAAGTCCAACATCCTGCCGTGTTGGGCAAAGGGCGTTGGGACCATAGCGTGACTCTCGGATGTCACGAAGACTATGCGCGGTGGGCCGTTCTTATAACGGAGGAACGGAAGAAGCGACATAGCCATAAGTGCGTTCGAGAGCACATTCACCTAATTTTGTTAGCAGCGCCCCCGATAATGGACAGTATGATGTACTTGGAGAGAAATGTCATACCCATCCGCTGACGCCATCCATTGTGAACACCAAACGCCGGCATTAAGAATGAGCAGATCGAAGGTCTTGGATTCATCTTTCAGCTGCCTTACAAAGCTTCTGACTGAGTCGAACGACGCTAGGTCACACTGTCGAACCTCAATATTGGCCGTTGGAAGAGCTCGAAGAATCTGCTGTCGAGCAGCTTCGCCCTTGGTTATGGATCGGACGGCGGTGATCACTTCAGCACCCTGTGATGCAAGCATCATTGCTAGAGAAAGACCAATCCCGGAGTTTGCCCCTGTCAAGAGAACGGCTTTTCCATGGAGATTGAGAGGTGCAACTTCAGGAATTCTGTAGAACAGCTGCCGAAAGAGAAATGCGAGTAGGCCATCATAGTAAGGCGCCATCTTGACGTAGGTATTTCATATGACAAAGATTACTGGGGGAAGAGATCTGTATAGTAATGTCCAGAGTTCAGTGTGATGTTATTTCAATCTTGTCGCTGCGGCGATTATTGCCTAGAACTGACTGTTGCCTATTTTATGAGTATTTGCTATCTCACTATCTCTTCTTGGCCTTGTGTTCACCTTACTTGGCATTGAAATGTATACGTCCTTTTTTTCATACATGTTGGTTGTACAGGAAATCTAATTTCAATCTTTCTACGCAATCGAAGTGAAGCATGCACTAGGTCGATCATTGAACTAATGCACAGCCCCAGTCAGAAGTGGCTGTGTAATATTGTCAGGCTAGCCAGTTTCAGAAACTTGACAGTTTCACAGACATGGCCTAGCAGAAGATCGGCGGAGAAAGAATCTCGAAATTCGTCAAACCCTTTGTCCGCAGATTAAATCTTTGTCTGCCGTATCACGGTCTTATCCAACCCTTGCCTCTGATAACTTGGCTCTGATACCTTCTACCATGTCGTATATTGTTGTACTGTGGTACTCTGACTCTCTGCCAGATAATTATAGTGGAAGCTCTCTCTACATCATCATGCACATACATACCACCCCTTGGACTTACTTGGATCTGAGACGCAGGAATAGTTGGGACACCCCAACGCTGCGAGATAGAATACTCCTTCACCGGCAGTCTTCTAGCTCGGGCGACCTAAATGCATATCCAGCCAGGGCTATTGTGTCTGAATTGATTTGCAATCCCACAAGATGTGGTTTTTTCCTCGGCAGACTAGCAAGAAAGTGGCTCACTCTCGCTCGAAAACGAGTTCACAGACGCCGATTCATGCCTTGTGAGGCTACCTCGAACACTATGACCGTGAGATTCGTACTAATGGGCACAGGAACACCGGAAGTTCAGCTATCACCGCGGAGCTATCATTGATCATAGCACTCCTGCGAGACAATTTCACCGCCCACTGTGGCAACGCTGTCGCATGCCTATCCGCACGACTTTCGGGATCAAATCTCTCAGTCCAACAGCTTTCAACCCGGTTGCCTGGGGCGTGTCTCGCGATATTGGCATTTGCGTATGTCTTTGACATCGCAAACCAGGCCTTTTCCGTGGAAGAGGATGCCTTGAACAAGCCCAAGAGGCCTATTCCCTCCGGCAAAATGAGCGTAGAGGGCGCTTACACGCGCTGGATACTGAGCTGGATTCTCTTCCTGATCTTGCTCCATCTCACCGTGGGTCTCCAAGCCACTACAATTCTGGTTCTGTGGGAGGGGTGGGTTCTGCTGTTCTACGTGTGGCCCAGATTCGATAACTGGGCCGCGCGCAATCTGTTCACGGCGGTTGGGGCCGTACTCCAGCTGAGTCTGCTTGATGCATTGCTCGAGGACGTCGAATTGCCGAGTGCAGAGGGGAGCTCGCTCAGGTGGCTCTTGTTTAGCTGGTTGATCATGACCATTCATGTTCAGGAATTTCATGACATGGAGGGCGACAGGAAGGCCGGCCGTCTTACATTGCCACTGGTCCTCGATCAACGAGGGCAATTGTGGCTACGCGGTGTCACGGCGGCGGGTATCGCCTGCGCTGCGATTGCCAATGGCTCGCGGATCGAATACGCAACTATGTCATTGAAACCAGCGCTGTTGCCTCTAGGGCTGTGTCACCTACTTTCCATGCCGGCAGTAGCTGTGCGTCTTGTGACGCTGCCGGTCAAGGAGGCCGACAAGGTGACCTACAAGTATTATTATACCCTGGCGACTTATACTATGCTGCATTTCCATGTGTGTGTGGAGCGCGACGGATTGTGAGAAACATGTTGGTCCGCACATCCTCCCCAGCTCAGTGGCCTTACTCTTTTTCCTTCTTTTGGCATGTTTCCTCGCAGCACTCGCCAGTCAGAGAAGACCTTTTTATCTCGTGTTCTAAGCATTCACATTCTCAGTATGTCTAAAACCATGTTACCGCGTTTGTTGCCTCGGGGCTCCGCCGTAAATTTGAGAGATTTCATACCATTCTTCCCGCCGCTGAGGATCAGCTCAGAGAGGTGTGCTCGAATGGTATGGGCCGGCCCAAGGAGGTTTGTATTGACAGTCTTGGCGAAAAGGTCAATTGGGAGGTCGTGAAAGGAGAGTCGGTTTATGGACATGGCCGCGCAATTCATTAGAACATTCTGCGTTCCCATCTGTCCTTCTGTCATTTGCCCTCGTAAAATCATTGGGTCTAGGTAGAAGTGTACTCATGTCGGTCTGGATTGTGCTCATGATAGCCTCTACCTCTTGCTGGTCCGATATATCGCACTTGAAATACCCCAAACCAATGGCGATGGGTGATTAAGGCATATAATCCTCATCATCAATGTCTAGCACGGCCACAAGGGCGCCATTGACCCGTCACATCTCTGAAGTCTCTTTCCCCAGTCCACTCAACCCTCCCGTGGCGATGAATACTTTACCCTTTGCACTCATACCGCCAGCGCTCTCTCTCCGCGCGCGGAGCACGGGCCAGAGCGCCATCGCACCGGCAACGAGGGCGACAGTCGCGCCTGCCGGAGAGGATACTTGCGCCATCGTGATGTGATAGCTTCTGAGGTGCGTCTTTCCAAGCGACACTAAGCAGGGCCTAGGTGTTGACTCTGTACTGTATGTGGCCCAAATGAGGAGTCATTCTCTCATACGAGGCGAAGATGCTCGTATCGGCTAATTTTGCCGCCATTCATCAAACTTGCAGGGCGTTGTGGGGTGCGATGAGCATATAGCACGGCAAGTATCCCACCTTGCGTGCATGTAATTGCCGACAGTATGTGATCTGTCAGATACCGGGCCTATTCGCATCGTACGTGTGGGGCATTCCTGGAATCTGGCCAGGTCATGCGGTATGCCCTTGCTTCGATCTACTGCATGAATTGGCGGTGTATGAGAACGAGTAGGCGAGGTGGTGCAATCCGGGAATTCTGACGATAGAAGGAGACAAGGTACTGAGTCTCAAGACAGAAAATCAAGAACCGAGAAACGAGGTACTTCCCAGTCCAACGAACGATATTCCTGCCACACATTTTATACACAGACTTTTCCAATCCAGCCTTCCTGGTCATACAAGTCAGGACTCGTCGGAATCTGCACACTTTTCATAGACCGAAAAGAACCAGCAGCGGGTGTAAATTTTGTCTATTTGTTCGAGACGGTCTTCAGTCAGGAAATTGCGATACTATTCAAAAGGGCTTGTCACTTAGTCATGGCTTAGTTCATGGAATTGGGGAAGATTGATATACTGTGACAAGGTTCATTTCTAATGATAAAGAATGGTAACGTAATTGGAAAGCCAGTGGACAGGGCCTCCATTATAAATCAAACAGATTCTTTTCTAACGGCTGTATCTTAATAAATACATATTAAATAGTTCTTAGACTGTGGTATCGTATATAATACTATTAAAAGAATATACTGTATGCATTCTTAGATTCTTTAGATCTATGTATATTTAGTTTTATGCTTATTAACATAGGTATGTATTCTTACGGTATATTGCATGTCATCTATGTGAACAGACATATTACCAAGCTTATAATTGAATATGTAATTTGTAATAAGTAAATTGACCAAATCACAGTTTTTTTTCATACTCAAACTTGGATGGTTGGGTCTTCGAGAGTAGGTTTATGTGCAATACAGGCATGCCCACTTGCTTACATTGCCCACTCGCTTACCGGTTATGATTATCAGACTGGCTGTAAGTTGTTTGATTGTCTTCGACTACTACCCCCAGTTCCCATATCTACAGTATCGCACCGAAACTGAGATACGAATAGCATCTGTGTTGCTTAAGCAAGAAAATTTGGAACCGACCCGAGCCCTTGATCAATCTTCACTATATTCACCATGAGCATGATCTTCAAGCCAGAGAGACAGCTTCCTCTACCAACCACGGATATTCTTTCCTATATCTTCGGCGATCCTGAATATGATCTTAACGAACCAGTAGGGCCAATCACTAAAGTACTTCCCATCTTCAGTACCATCAAAAGCTGACTACCGCGTCTTAGATATACATCGACGCACACAACCCAACCCACACATTATCATGTAATGGCGCCATAAAAATGGTCAAGCAGCTCATCCGAGGTCTCCAAGATTCAGGCCTCGAGCCCGGCGATTGTGTGGTCATACATTCTTTCAACAATGTCAGCACCCCTCTCTTGTCTACGTCCGAAAGCTAAAGATTGACCCTCAACTGCAATAGATATACTACAGCGTCCTAGTGCTAGCCATCATCGGTGCAGGCGGAGTTTTCACCGGCACAAACCCATCCCATACGACCTCAGAGCTCGTGCACCATCTCCGAGTTTCCAAAGCTCGGTTCATCATCTCCGAAGCCGACCTCATAGCTCCCATCCTCGAGGCCGCAAGACAAGTCAACCTTCCCGAAGGCAACAGCTGGGTCCTCGACACCTATGAAGCCTCCACCGATGTCGCCCCACGCAATGATCTCTTCACCAATTCCAATGGTCTATCCTCTTGGCGAACACTCCTCACCCACGGCGAGGCTGAATGGCAGCGCTTCGACACTCTCACCACCGCGAGGGACACAACCGCCGCCCGATTCCTCAGCAGCGGGACGACGGGCCTCCCAAAGGCCGTCGACATTACGCACTACAACCTCGTCGCGCAGCATACGCTTGTCTTCGAGGCGCATCCGCGGCCCTATCGAGTACACTGCCCCCACTCAACCCTTTACTACTTCTCTCACCTGAGCAGGTGATCAACTGACCGCCAGGAACATAGATGACGTCCCTAATCGCCCTTCCCGTCTTCCACGCCGCCATCGCCCCGCTCGTGCACATCGGCGCTCTGCGCTCCGGCTACACGATGTACATTATGCGGCGGTTTGAGCTGGGCTCGTATCTACGGTTCGTGAAGCAATATGCGGTCACGGACCTAATCGTCGTCCCGCCGATTTTGACGGCCATCTTGGCGTCTGACTCCCCGGGCCGGGAGACGGGTCTGAAGAAGGTGAGAAATGTGGTCTGCGGCGCCGCGCCGCTGAACAAGGATACGCAGAGTAGGGTCGTGCGTGAGCTGCTCCCGGAGGGTGTGCCTCTGACGCAGGGGTGGGGCATGACGGAGACGTGCTGCGCGGCTATGATGTTGCCTTACCCAGAGGTGGATGACACGGGGTCCGTGGGGCGCTTGGTTCCGAATGTCGAGGCTAAGTATGCTTCTCCTGATGTCGACCTCTTCGTGATTGTCCGGGAACCCTACTGTGGTCTGTAAAGCAGGGGCTAATTAGCGTGAGCGATGGTTGCAGGTTGATCGACGACAACGGAGAGAATATCTCCGCGTACGATGTCCCCGGCGAGGTCTGCATCCGCGGCCCCACTGTGACACCGGGCTATCATGATAACCCGGCGGCGAATGAGTCCGCCTTCGGCGCGGATGGCTGGCTGAAAACTGGTGACGTAGCAATATGTGATGGTGTCACGCGCAAATGGTACATCGTCGATCGAAAGAAGGAGCTCATCAAAGTCCGAGGATTTCAGGTGGCCCCGTCGGAGCTGGAGGCTGTCCTGCTGTCGCATCCGGCTGTGGTCGATGCTGCGGTGGTGGGCGTTTGTGATCCGCTGCATGGGAGTGAGAGGCCGCGAGCGTTTGTAGTGGCGAAGCCCGGCGAGCCGCTGCGTGGCGATGAGGTGAGACGGTATGCCGCGGAGCGGTTGGCGGGGTATAAGGAAATCTCTGGGGGTGTTAGGGTTGTGGAGGCCATACCTAGGAATGCGAGTGGGAAGATTCTGAGGCGGGTGTTGCGCGGCCTAGCTGAGTGTGATGCCGAAAGTAGGAGACCGGTTTCGAAATTGTGAATTTGACGGAGATTGGATATTCAGGTGCGTCCGCTGTACATTTATGAAAACCAATAACAAGACGCCCCCGCGCTTGTGGTCACATGTTGTAGTTTTATATGCATCTCTAAAGCCTCTAGTCTCCAGATCCACCTTCAAAGCCACAGCCAATCTAAGTGCGTCTGTGGGAAGCTCGAGAAACAACAACATCGCTCGATAGTAGGGTACAAGGCTCTGGTAGCTTGTTCGTTTCACGACCGCAATTAGTTCGACCGCCTTCATCCTAACGCTCCGGGACTATTCTGTCGGGAGTAAGGTTTGCCAGCGGAGTAGGATCCAGATCAACTACCCAGGTGTCAGTGTCGGCATGCGGGCAGTAGTTAGTTTCTTGTTGGGTGCCTTAAGGAATCGCTCCGTGCGTGCGGAGAAGTCGCTCAGCTCCATGAAGAGCAGGTTGAAGAAGACGAGACACGCCAATTTACAATTGTTGGTGAGTACTATATGGACGGGGTGCTTTTGGTAGTCACGAGGTTCCCAGTCAGCTGCATCTATCTGGTGCTGCTAGTACAGAGTCCAGGGCTTCTTTGTTGACAATGAGCGGGAATCCGTGGCGGACATCTCGTCCACAGTACTCGCCGAACCGGTCTGCCGTGAGGTCACGATGTCGCGTATCCGCTGTTCAGTACAGTACGTTGGCTATTATTGTGAAAAGGTGACACCCGCATACCGCCAGATCTCCTCCAAGGGGCATATCTCAAGAGCGGGATCTTCTTGAACATTCCATTCAAGTTGATGCAAAATCGACTCGGCTCCATCCTTTTCAAACCACCGGAACCCTCTCGCGAGTAAACCCCCGAACCGCTCCCATCGTGAATCATCGTCGTACGAGCGCGCACTGTAGATGAAAAACCCCCAGATTTCTGCCCTCGTATTGTTCAGCATCGCACAAAGTCCTCAATATCGCCGCCCGGGATCTCACCCATGGTTGAAGGTAGGAGGGTGAGTGAATTTCTCCCAGCCAGAATCGAGAGTACAGAAAGTGTACAGAAAGTGCGACAAGTGAGTTGCAACCGTCGCCGTGGTTTTAGGGCTTGCGGTCACGTGTCATTCTTTTATCTTCCCATCGATCAAGATTGGTTACTGAGGTTAAGTGAGTGGGTACGGAGGCTTGCTGAAACTTCCAAGCAGTCATCCTGGAGAATGATATCGCCTTATATCTTATTTCCTGGCAAAGAAGAGCCCCTGTCCGCCTCCCGTACATCAGGCCTCCACAGCATAATTGAGCATATCTCCCGTCTTTTCTCTTACGTCGAACTCTCTATTCTGATGTTGAGCTTTCGACCAACAAACTGTTTCGACTCTTGAAAACACCCGGGAATGTATGGCCCAGACCTTCGACGTCATGCGACAAAAGATCTCATCGATTTAACAGCAACTTGGGCACCTTTTTTCTATGAAATTGCGAAATTACTTGATACAAGAAGCCAGTCATATGAAACACCCCAGAACAATCATTTGCCCAAGGCAATCGGAAGCCTGCCTAGGGTTTCTGTTTTATTTGGTTCTTTCTATTATTAATAAAGCAAGACCCAGATCGAACTTACATGGGAACCCTCATAAGATCGAACGGTCCACCACCTATAATCTAACGGCAAGGATGCAACCCTACACCTGACGCGAACGTACAGGCAAAGGCCCGCAGAGCCGAATGTCCCCCACCCACTTGACCATAGTCGACCGGTCATTGGGCACGGGTTCGACCCTAGTTTGGGTCTCGGGGATCCTCGGGTGGAGGATGAGCAGGAGATTGCACAGGTCCGGATCCTGGTCAATGTCACTATCATGGACGGGGGGCGGAAACTCGATGGACCATCTCAGATCTTTCCTTTTGTCACACCACCAGACATCCAAAGGCAGAGTCAACTTCAGCCGATCCAGAATGTCACTTAATTGTTCGTGCAGTTTTTCATGCTCCTTCTCCTCGTCTTGTGGCCAGTCTTCAGTGCGGACGACGGCCCGGACCAGCAGATGACGCTCGGACGGGGGGGACGGCTCGATGCGAAAGTCCCTCCGACTGTAGCGGTCTTCAATCTGGCTGCGGAGGCCGATGAGCAGCTCCGGGATCGCGAGGTTGACTGGGGCGTCGTAGACCCAGAAGTCGAGATACCACCGGGCTGGATCGGGCGGTGCTTGTGGGGTCGAGGGCTGAGCCTCACCTGTAGATGACGAAGGCATTGGGTGACTCATTGTTCGTACATTTTTCTTTGGTGTTGCGGTTTGAATTGGAAGCTTTCATGATAGGGGACGGGGTAAGTACTTATACCAAAAGGGAGTAGGCTGCTAGAGACTGACGGGTGAAGAATTTCATAATGTGGGATAGAGGTCAAAGACAATTCCTTACGCCATGTGTCAGTAGAGAATGCTAACACTTGCATTATCCGTTGTACCACTTCCTGCCTCAGATTGAGGTCATTAATATATGCCCACTGTCAGAACATTCATTCTCGCAAGCGAGTTCTGCGGGAGTACAGCGCTTGGAGTATAATGGTCTTTGGAGTATCTTTGTTTCAGCAGACAATAGTTTCAAGAAAAGCTCTGGCAATGCTCTTTGATCCGTAGTAGGTGATCCCGTGGTTGGAGCAATATCAGTGAGTTCTTCCGAGAGAGGACGTTCCACCAGCTTTATGGATGGCAGCCTTTCAGGGTTGTCGTAACCAAATGCCCTTTGTATGGAGCCATATTGTACTTGAAGACGACCATTGATTCGTGCCTGCAGGACATATCAGTCTGTTCTTAGCAAGAGTTCAAACTTTCTGCTCCCCGCAAACTAACATTTATGATACTACGGTTCTTTGATTTCATCTTACACACCCACATCTATGGTTTCACAACAACCCCATACCTCATGACTGACTGGCTGAGCAGTGTGGTTGCTAATCAAAAGCCATAAACAGCATTAACACAATATTACGTTCCTCCACCAAAGTAGAGATATGGGAAGATTTAATACCACTGACGTGATCTCTACAAATTAAATCGTAAACACAGCTCTTGGTGATGGGGTTTGAGCTCGGACACTGTGCGGTGGGAGCAACATAGGGTTGATTTAGTTGATTTGCAGGGAAGCAGGTCGGCCCCACATGCAGCCTCCTTGACACCCCACTAGGCCCTACGTGGATAAGTAGCACATGAGAGATTTATTCCCCTCAGCAACAGGTTGAAACTATTGAGTTACAGAGCATGCTTTCAAGACATTCGGGGGTGGGAATTGACCGGGCTGCCAGCCCCGCTGCAAAGGGCGCTGGAGCATACATCGATCCGGTCAATCACAAGGTCATGGCCTATTTATCTCTCCGCTCTCAACGGGTGGCATCCACACGCATCTTAGCCTTTGACCGATCTTCCAAATCTAGTATTTGAGAACAGGAAAGACTGAAATTCTTGTAGCAACTGCATACTAAACAACTAGCCGCTAAAAGCCCTATGAGGAAGATGCAGTCGCCCGCTCATGGGTACACTATATCTTGCGAGCGCCGAATCCATAGCATGTAAATGTGTTTATGATCAACCAGTCCATTCCATCTAAAGCGGGAAAGTGGCAAGACCCTCTTCTTCGCGCATGTATGTTCAGATCACCGGCAATCCCTTTCTCACTAAGTAACCATGATCTTTGATGTGCAAAACGTGTTTTGAGTGAATGACCCATGAGCGCATGCACATAAGGACACCTATCAGCTTGTGGCTGTTGATAATCGGCGGACATACTGTGGGTGTCAGACTGACGTGTGATGCCAAGTCCCCGTCCGCCCGCCCAAACAACCCAGCGATCTGCTGCATATTTCAGAAGCATCCACCCAACCAGAGCTCTGGGAGTCATACTCCGATCGACCAAAGGAACCACATTTTATGCGTACATGTACCAAGCACCAACACGGCTTCCCTCCCGACCTATGAATCGCCCTACGCCTTTGCGCAATAGTGACATGGGCCTCGTATGCGGTGCCGCTTGGAATACGGGGCTCGGCTACTTACATTAAAAACCCGGCAGAGTGCTCTAGCATGAATTCCCAGAATCATCATTTCTAATCCATTGATACGATTGTTTTTACCCAATAGATACAGTATGCTCTCATCTCGCTTCCTGAAGCAGTCCCTCCGCGGAGGTCTCTCCAAGGCCACCTCACGGACTCCGCCCGCTGTCCTCCCCCGCCGCCAGTTCGCCATTACCGCCGTCCAGCGGACCCAGATCTCCGAGGTAATCACCAGCGACCACCGCGACCTCGAGGACGCCTACAACCACATCAAGAGTGCCGCGAACGAAGAGGACCAGGTGAAATGGCAGAACCAATTTACCTGGGCGCTGGCCCGCCACTCTCTGGGCGAGGAGCTGGTGGTGTACCCGTCCATGGAGAAGCACCTGAACAACGGCCCCGAGATGGCCGAGCACGATCGCATGGAGCATCAAGTCGTGAGTTGGACTCGCTCCCATGTCCTTCGATACTACGCTGACGAACATGGATGCACCAGGTCAAAGAACTCCTCTACAAATTCCAGGGGCTCAAGCCCACCGACCCGGAGTTCATGCCGGTGCTGGAGAACCTCTGGGGCAACCTCGCACAACACATCAAGGAGGAAGAAGGGAAAGATCTGCCGCAGCTGGAGAAGACCTTGGACGAGGGAGAGTCTCGGCAGATGGCGGCCTCGTTCCACCGGACGAAGCAGTTTGTGCCGACGAGGAGTCACCCCAATGCCCCGAACAAGCCGCCTTTTGAGACCGTCGCGGGGTTGATGGCGGCGCCGATGGATAAGATTAGGGATATGTTTAGGTCATTTCCGGAGACGAAGGATCAGGCGACCAAGTAAATTCTCATGGGGGGTGGGGAGGGTGGCTAGGATGCTGTATTATTTTCGAGATCACTGTACTGTATATTGAACACAATGTAAATGAATATGAGTTTGCTTGTTGACTTGGGGACACACAACTAGACGTACGAAAGTGCACTTATGTCTACGAAGTCTGTTGCGTATTGGCATACGTCCATGCCCAGCTCTGTGGGTCGGGCATCCTAATGTCCAGAGGGAAGCTGGTAGAAATGGGGACTGGGCTATTCGGATTCAGGCGAGGCCCGGTAATCTGTGGAGGGCGCATGGCCCTCCACAATAGTCACAAGCGTCCTGAACAAGGGAAATTGGACACCTAGCATCAATCGATTGGCATTGTTTTCCTTGTTGGGCGATTTTGCTCTTAATGGGTCTGGCAGCCTAAGGCACGAAAACATAAAACTCCCGGCGGCCGGCCAGACGAGTCTATTTTTCGACTAACCTACCATCTCTTAGTCGGGATCGGGGCATCGCTAAGTAGCAATTGAATCATATTGGGTCAGTGCCTGTATATCCTGCGATATAGAGGTAACGAAGTGCGCATCTCAGAAACCCGGCCGCTCCGGAGATTTGCTACTGCCTGGTCAGCACTTCGGATCCATCCGATCCTAGATTGAGCCCTAACCGGGCTCTGACCTGGACTTGTTACATCAGACCCTGCGAGAGGATACCACACCACAATTATAGCAATCGAAACCGAAGCACACGACCCCATATTCCCTAGGCAACCCTTTCTATCGCCCAATTTCGGGAAAAATTGACTTGCAGGGTCAAAGTGGCGCGCCACTGCCAGCTGAAGTCCACCGGGAAACCTCCAGCGAGCCGTAATTGGTCTAGTAGCTTCCGGCTACACCTGCCATAATGTTGATATTGTAGGTCCCCATCATCCCTCAGAGCTCGTCGGGGCATCATGCGACATGTACACGGTCCAACGGTTAACCTAGCCCTGAGCCCAGGCCGGACAGGACACGGCCAGCCCGCAGTGCAGGAAAGGAGCCGAAGTTAGCTGCTACTAGGCTGGCGCCGATTGTATACATAATAGCAGCCAGAAGAATGACTGCCCGACCGTACCGTCACTGATGGGACCGAAGGAAATGACACCTACTGTTTGACCCTATCCCGTATGTTAGCCTCAATTTCCCAACGATGATCTTGAGGAGGGTAGAGTCAACTTACCAGGAGCATCGAAGACACTGCCCAGCCTATGTCATTTGAAGTCCGAGAAGCTGTTGAATCCGTCCAGCCAAGATCCTGGAAAAACGGGGCCAGGCTCATGGTCCCTGAGATGTTGAATTTTTGAAGCCATGAAGACCAACCACCGCCGTAAGAGGCCCTGATGACGGGAAGCCAGATTTAGGGCTTCCGGGCAGCTTTGGGGACATTTGGAAAGGCGCACTTGCTGAAACCGCCGCATGGTGCATTCATGGTCAAGAGCCAGTCACGGTAAAGGTAAGTAGAGAACAGTGAAGTGGAGAGTTGTCTGAATGGCTGCTAATTCGGTACAGGAAGAGATATTTCCTTGGGAAGTGATGATAGCACAACTGTCACGGCCACAAGTCTAGATGTACTGATACCCTACGCATTGACAGTTACCCCATTCCAGCCAACAGAAGTCCGGGGTGCATGGCACGAGATGCGGAGGTGGGGCTGTTAATTTACGGGGAGTCGAGACAAAGCGTGTCTTCATTACCGTCGCAGGGTAGCTCCGAAGACGATTCCGGGAGCATTCCGGATATTGAGCGGGGCTGGATTTGGCCACTGGACTCGCTGCCCCAGACCTTGAATCCGGGTTAGACAATGCCGGTCCACAGTTTCGAGAGTACTATGTGGTCTCCAGTCCACGGCTCCCTCTGCGCCTGCATTGTTCCATACCTTTACCTTTTGTTTTCTCTATACATGTCCCCTTGTCATGGTCAAAAGGATGTAGACGTGAATCCGTGTCGTCGATCATAGCATCATCTCCAAATAATGACATTCCCAGATCATAAGATGCTTATTGGTTGATTCTCTATTCTGAGTACCATTTTTCCTAAAGTACTGTACATTCCAATCATCCCCACCCATCTCATGAGAGAGCAGTCGCTTTGATATGGTTCAAGGCGCTTCCAGCCCGTAGCCACGCAATCTGACCAGCGTGATAGCTATGATTCAACTTGGCCTCCCATGCCTGACCCTCCTGGGGTGTAACTCGCATGACCACCTGCGAGTGCGGGACAAGCTCGCCCTCCTCAACACCAATCAATGAAATCCGGTCGCCCTCGGCAATACGATCGTATGTAGCTGGATCCTCAAAGGTTAGAGGCAGCATACCCTGCTTCTTCAGATTGGTCTCGTGAATTCTCGCGAATGAGCGTGCGATCACTGCGACTCCTCCCAGATACCGGGGCTCAAGGGCGGCGTGCTCCCGCGAGCTGCCTTCGCCGTAGTTGTGATCACCCACAATGCACCACCTCACTCCTCGCTGCTTGAGGTCCCGCGCTACCTGCGGGACAACCTGCAACTCGGCCGTGATGGGGTGGTGGGTATGACCCAGTAATTGTGGGTCGTCCGCAGGGAGGAAAGCATTGGTTGCAGTGGTAAGCATGTTGTTGCTAATGTTTTCCAGATGGCCCCGGTACTTGTACCACGGACCGGCTGGGGAGATATGATCTGTCGTGCATTTGCCCTTCACCTTAATAAGAAGCTCCATCGTCTGTGCCGCGCCCTTCTGCCAGGCCGGGAAGGGTTGCAGTAGCTGCAAGCGCTCAGAGTCGGGATGTATAGCCACCGCTTCAGCGCCCCCGTCACTCGACGGAGGCTGGAACAGATCCTGTCCACTTTCGAATCGAGTGGGCAGTTCCTCGCCGACCGGAGGGCTCAGTCGCACATTGCCCTTATCTGAGGCAATACTATCCGTCAGCGGGTTAAAGTCCAATCGCCCGCCGTAGGCAAACGCAGTCACCAGTTCCGGTGAGGTAACAAAGGAGTGCGTCGCTGGGTTGCTGTCATGACGACCGATGAAATTGCGGTTGAAGCTCGAGATCACCGAGTTCTTCTGCTTCTTTGCCACATCCTTGCGGTCCCAAGAGCCGACGCAGGGTCCGCACGAGCTGCTCAGAACCTTGGCTCCGGCATCGCGTAACTCCTGCAAGATACCATCGGCCTCAGCTGTCGCGCGGATGCGTTCACTTCCTGGGGAAACCATGAACGGGGTCTTGAACTTGGTGATACCCGCTGCACGGGCCTGCGACACGATCTGACGGGCTTTGTCCAGGTCTTCGTATGAGCTGTTGGTGCAGCTGCCGACCATGGCGTGGCTCAGCTCCACGGGCCAATCCTGCCCGGCCACCGCGTCCTTCAGCTTCGATATCGGGTGCGCCAGGTCGGGGGTGTATGGGCCGTTGACGTGGGGCTCCAGGGTGGTCAGGTCTAGCTCGATGATCTGGTCATAGTAGTCGTCCGAACCCTCATCTGCCGTCAACAAAGTGGATCTCGTGTTTCCAGCCTCGATCCGCTCCGCACTGTCCGCTCGTCCGGTGGCCTGCAGGTACCGGCCCATAGCATCCGAGTACGGGAATATGCACGAGGTGGAACCGATCTCGGCGGACATGTTACAGATGGTAGCCATGGCTGTTGCGCCCAGCGTCTGCGTGCCGGGGCCGAAGAATTCAATAACGCGTCCTTTACCCCCGGAGACGCTCAACAGGCCCGCCAACTTGCATATGATATCCTTCGTGGAGGTCCAGCCCTGCAACTGTCCTGTCAGCCGCACACCCACCACCTTTGGCGCCACCAGCTCCCAGGGCATCCCCGACATTGCATCTACGGCATCCGCGCCTCCAACCCCGATCCCCAGCATCCCCAGCCCTCCCGCATTGGGTGTGTGCGAATCCGTCCCAATGATCAACCCACCAGGCCTACACCCGTTAGCTCATGCCTGTAACCCCCAGCCCATTCTCGACGTCAAACTTACACAGCGTGATTCTCAAAAATGACCGTATGAATAATCCCCGAACCAGGCTTCCAGAACCCGATCCCGTATTTTTTCGACGCACTGCTCAAGAACTCATACACCTCGCGATGCTCCGTCTCCGCCCGTCGCAGATCCTCTTCCGCCCCTTTCTCGGAGATGATGAGGTGATCGCTATGCACGGTGGTGGGCACGGCCACGCGGGGCAGTCCCGCGCTGATGAACTGCAACAACGCCATGGTGGCCGTCGCATCGTGGCACGCCACCCGGTCCGGGCGCAGCTCCAAAATGCTGTGCCCGCGCTGGATCTTCTCGAGATTCCATTCGCGGTTGCCGGAGGTGATCAGGTGGCTGTAGAGGAGTTTCTCGGTCAGGGTGAGCGGCCGCTTCGAGCCTTGCTTTAGCTGCTCGAGGGTGCGGAGTTGGTGCGCGTAGTTGACGGCGGAGTGCTGTTGGTGATGCAGGTCAGCAAACAGACATCCTTATAGGGGTGAATGACCTATTCTGGGGGGGTAATCTCACAGCAGAAGCCGCTGGTTGCGTCGCATAGGTTCTTGTGCTTCGGATCTGGAGATGGTGGTGCGCGCGGTTAGTCCCGCGCAGGGAGGATGGGAGTCGCTGCATCGTGATTCGGGGTGTCAATGGTTTCCATGCATTGTTTGAGGATATGAAGACAGGAAGAAGTTGCGAGAGTCTGCCATTTTCTCTTCATTTGAAATTTCTCCTACTACTCAGATGTTTGTACACTCCGCCAGCTTTTTTGGAGACGGTCTGGAGAAGCCCGAGTTCGACCGGGTTGGTCCGGGGCGGTGTACGGAAAGATTACAGCTCAATACCTCCACCACAATAGAGATATATTGGATATCGAGGGCGATAAGCGGTGGATTTTAAATCAATAAAAAGACCGTATTACTTGTTCCTGTCTTCTATTGGTCATGGCGCTATAGAATAGACATTTCTCAGCTCTAGGTTGAGGTGTGAAGTCTTCATGTTGCATCGCGAAGGTCTACGTCATTTGTACAATACGCGTAATTACCTATGGTTAGACCTACAGTATGCCCGGAGTAGCCCGGGAACCGCGGCTGAAC